GCTGTTGGCAGGAGCGAGCGCGAGCGGTGAAACTTGAGCCGCTTTAAGCAGCATTAATCACTGGCAAGGCAGCCTCTCTAAAAGGAGGCCAGTGAAAATGCAGTCCCTGGCGAATTGCATAAGAGCCAGAGTGGGTTCTGAGCCGGGCTGTGTTGCCAGAGAGGGTTGGTGGCGAGGGCAGGGGCCGGGGATGGCGCCGGGGGAGAACGGGGGCGGATTCAGGATGTTTGGAGCTGTTACCTGGCAAACACAAGTAGTGGCTTGGTGTCGGTGGCTGGGCTTTGCTGCCGAGCCAGGCAGCCAGGGAACTCGAAGGAAATCAAATTTAGCCTGCAGTCGAACAGATTTTCTCATTCCAGCTCTGTCACAGCATGCAGCGGGGTATCTCCTCCTGTTAATTATTGCTCTTTGGTTACTCTGGAGTGGGCAGCTTGCCACTGAGCCCGTCCAGACAGCCCAAGTTTCAGATGTGTTTTTTCCCCCCTGTCTCCCCTGAGATAAAAGGCAAGCCCGGAGTCAGAAGCACAAGGGTCTGTTGACATCCCCAGCACAGCCCAGCAGCTCTTGCTCGGAGCAGCAGAAACTGCAGTGTGCGTGGGAGGGTGGCTCTTGAAGCTGAAGCTGTTTCCAGTGCCTTTTGGCAGTCTCTTTTTCCTTGTAACCTGAAGAGCTCAGAGAGGAGAGGCAAACTTTTCTGGGTGATGCAGGAAAAAAAGAGGAGAAGGAGAAAAAGGCGTTTATTTGGTCAGGACTCTTAAAATGTTCTGATCTGTGGAGCTGGTGTTGAAACGATTTTGTCACTTGAAAGATCTGCCTGCGTGGCTCCCTGCAGCAATAACCTTCTTTATCTTGCCTGGGGAGAGAAAGCAAAGGTCTCTCTTGCTGCTGCAGGGTGTCAGGCTGAGGCAGAGGGGAATGGGAAGCCCAGCTCTTGCATCCCTGCACTAGAGAGAGTTTACAGAGCAGAGAAACTCCAGTTTTGAACCGTGTGCCATGTAGAAAGGGAGAGAAGGATGGCTGAGGTCTGCACCCAGCTTTCACTAGCAGGGACATGTTGCCTTCCTGGGCTGGCAGCCACAGTGGAGTTCAGCATCCCTTGGCTTCTGGGGAAAGGTAGATCCCTCCTCTGTCCCTGTGGATGTTTGTGGGCTCTGTTTCTGCAGCTCTGTAGCTCCATGCCTTTTCCCTGCTGCTCTCTTATCCTGAGCAAACCTCAGCCTTGTGCCCCATCTTGCATTCCCAGGGCCAAGCTTCCCAAAAGGGACGAACCAGGCTCAGTTTGGACCCCGCTGCAGTGGGGAATGTGCCACGTGGAGTCTTGGAGGTGCTCAGAATCCTTCTTGCCTTGCTAAAACCCCCTCATAGCTGCCTGCAGCTCTGTAATATGCACTCTCTGTTCCCAATTCCATAGCCAAGATCCCAGCAGACAGGGTATTAAAGCTGGGGCCTGGTAGCACAGTAACATGGAGGGCAGTGGGTCGCTGTGCTGGGGAGGAAATCGCACTGCAAGGAAAGCAAGGCTGCTCCACATGAGGGGTGCAGTGTTAGTGCCCCGGACTGGTGGCAAGAAGCCAGATTCAGGGCTTTTAGGTTGCCCAGTGATGGATGCTTCCATGGGAGGCAGGAGGTGACCCCACAGAGCTCAGCATGCTGCACCTTGGCTGGGCATGGTGTGAGTTCACCAGCAGTGTGTTCCTGTGGCTGAGGGTGTACAACCAGTGTTGTGTCTCCACTGATTGTTTAAGTACCTGGGAGGTGATGGGATCATGCTGAGGAGATCAAGCAGCACCAGAAGGGATTTTTTAATCCCACGGTACCTGTGGCCTCCCCTGCGCAGGCAGCGCGTGGCAATAACCACGGGCAGGGCACGGAGTTTCTTACACACCAAAATGAGAGAGGGAGGTTTGTTTGTGAGGAAGAGCTGTTCAAACAAAGGAAAGCAGGATCCTGGTTTCTATTTCTGACTCCTCTCCTGGTGTGACCTTGGGTGTGCTGGGGGATGGAGGGGCAGGCAGAGCTCAGCTCCAGGTGACAGCTTGAGTGGGTGCCAGTGTCCCTGGCCTGGAAATGTGGCTTGGTTGCTTTCCCTTGGCTCATTCAGAGGAAACCAGTGCTCTCTGAGCTTAATCTCATGGAGGTCCAGTCTTGCTGCTGGGTGGGAATAACCTGCCCTGTCCCCCATCAAGGGTTTCACTGGGAATTCAAGTCCTTGAGCGGCTCTGTGGTGTCACCCTTTTCCACGGGATGGTTGGCATTAGGGGCATTTCCAGTTCCACTGCTTGGCAGTGGAGGGGTTCCCACTTCCCTCCATGGCAGTGGGAGGGTTTGTGTGAGCCTGCCCTAGGTCCCCTCCTGGCTGGGCACAGCTGTGGCACATGTGGCTGGTGTCCCCAGGGTCCCTCCACCTCCATAGGGGCTGCCAGGTACCCTCGGGTGTCCTCACTGCTGCCGTGGCTCAGCCTTGCTGTGGATCTGCTGACACATCTGCTCCAGCCCTCTCTAGAGCCGAGCTGCTCCCTCTGAGTATTTTTCTATATTTTTTTTAGCTTTTAATTACAGTGCCCAGGGCAGGACCGGAAAGGGTAAAAGCGCTTTGTGCGCCCGCCGTTCCTTTGAGGTGTTGGGTGCTGCTCCTCCCACCTGGCTGCCAAACCCAGCATTTTCCCCCCAAAATCTGCCCCTGAGAGCCCCCCAGGCTCCTCCAGAGCCGGGCTGGCCGTGAGCTTGGCACTGGAGCCGTCGTGCTGAGCAGCGCCGGCCGGCCCCGCCGTGTTTGTGTAAGGAATCCAAACGTTGCACAGAGCCCCGGCTTGGACAGCTGGTCTCTGTTAGGATCTTAAGGCTCATTTCCCTTTTTTTTTGAATGGCAGTGCTAAGCTCTGGGGAAATTTTTCCTTTCTTTTTTTTTTTTTTTTTTTTTTTTTTT